GTGTCTCGCTTTACTGAATTCTGGCGCTAAATGCTTAGCTAGAGGCATATACCATTGTGATTTGACTTCCTTTAATATTTTATCTCTAAACACATACTGTTTGAATATTGTTTTATTTTAATGTGAATTAATGTGAATGGGCAGTAGTAACCAGCAGCACAATTATAAGATGGGAAACTCCGTTCTTGAGAGCACAGAGGCAGAAAGGGATCTTGGAGTCGTCATTGACTCCAAGATGAACATGGGACGACAATGCAAGGTCACGGTCGGCAGGGCTAACCGGACTTGATTGTGCATCCACAGGTGCATCTCAAGTAGGGCCAAGGAGGTGATCCTCCCCTTCTACGCGACACTGGTCAGGCCACAGCTGGAGTACTGTGTCCAGTTCTGGGCACCCCACTTCAAGAGGGATGTGGACAACATTGAGAGGGTCCAGAGGAGGGCCACCCGCATGATCCAGGGACAGCAGGGTAGACCCTACAATGAGAGGCTACGGGACCTGAACCTGTTTAGCCTTCACAAGAGAAGGCTGAGGGGGGACCTGGTGACCGTCTATAAACTCACTAGGGGGGACCAGAAGGGTTTGGGGGAGACCTTGTTTCCCCTAGTGCCCCCCGGGATAACAAGGAATAACTGCCACAAGTTGTTGGAGACTAGGTTTGGATTAGACATCCGTAAGAACTACTTCACAGTTAGGGCGGCTAGGATCTGGAACCAACTTCCAAGGGAAGTGGTGCTGGCTCCTACCCTGGGGGTCTTTAAGAAGAGGCTTGATGCCTACCTGGCTGGGGTCATTTGAGCCCAGTTTTCCTCCTGCCCAGGCAGGGGGTCGGACTTGAAGATCTACAAGGTCCCTTCCAACCGTACTTCTATGATTCTATGAATTTAATAGATTACAGTAAATGTAGGGCTTTATGTTAAGTTTCCAGAACTTAATTTAATTGCAAACAAGTTACCTATGTCTTGGTAAAATAATTTAATTTAAATCAGGTTTTTATCTATCTTTCTGCTCACATTAACTGGCCAACTTAAACCCTTTTGAGCCACAGCTGAATTTAAACTGGTCTTAGACATAGGCTTGTTGTTTGATTGCCCTTGGGCCAAATGTTCGAAAGTGCTTAGCAGCCTAGCTCCCAGTGACTATGATTAGCACTGTGGGTATTTAGCATTTGTTAAGACTGAGCCAATGGTTTCTCAAGCAAGTCACCCGTACACTAGGTTATTTGTGAAAATTTTGGCTTAATTCTGTATATCCCCCAGAAGCTCAAATGATATACTGCATTTATCTCGTGCCAGTTCATTAAATATCAGCTGCTCTTGTGATGCCCAGTACTACTTACTCAAGTGAGTACAAACAGTTCCATTTATATAAATACAACTGCTGTGCATACGTTTGCAGGGTTTGACCTAACGTGCGGTGTGAGAAACTGCATATGATCAGGACGACATGACTAGTATTCGGGAGTTTCTGCCTTACTAGGATCAGAGGCATTTCATATTTTGAAGATGTGCAATATAGCATAGTATTGGTGCTAAGTGTTGCTACTACCATTAAGTTCAGGAACCATCAGTTTCAGCATGCATCAGCCTGGAACCAGGGAGTAGAAAGAACTAAATAATTGCTGGTTGCAGGTAAGCATGCACCTGCGTGAATGAATCCCTGTTGTGTTTAGAAGCAAACGGGCTTAGAAACCAGAGCTGGGACATCCCCATTGCCAGAGCCAGAACTCTAATTGCAGTGATCTCATTGTAACTGTGTAACTTGGAGTATTACCCGAAGCATTCAGGCTTAGCATAGGAGTAGCTAGCACTATATCTTTAACCATCTTCTGTAGATTATCTACAACCCCTTTGACCATGGATCAACTGATCTGATTTGGGAACCGGACCCTTTATGAGGGCCAGTGATTCTGGTGCTAAATAAGCCCACTGAGTTTGGATTGGTTGTTAGGTTCGGTTCAGGCTGTGGGCAAGAGTCTTAAAAAATTACTTCCATGTCTACAGGATTCAGCCAAAACAGGTGATGGTAAGAAATATTTGTGCCTATAATATGAAACAGATCAACAGGGATTTGTGTGGCGAGTTCTAAGATTATATGATGTCACATGAGAGACCTGGATATGGTTGTAGGGTCTTTCACAATAACTGGCATTGATTCTTTCTGCCAAACACAGAGGCTCACAGATGCTTTGTTTGCCCATGTAGACAAATCCTTTGTCATTCCTATGGATCTCCTTACACTAGGATAAAAGGTTCTCTTTCAAAATGTGTGAGCTGTCAGTAACAGGGATCCAACCTGAAACCTGTGGGTGTAAAGCCATGGAGTGTTTTAGCTTGGTAGAGGTTATTTTGTTTTGGAAGAGGGAGAGTGTGGAGCAGGAGAACATAAGAATTGCCATTTACTGTACTGGATCAGACCACAGGTTCAACTTGCCCAGTTACCTGGGTCACACAGTAGTAGAGAGTGGATGCTGAAAGGGAGAATGACCTGGGCATGACCAGGGTTTTTTCCACTGTTCCTCTCACTTGCAGCCTCCATTTACGGTGAGGAGTGAAAGAAGGCAGGAGGCTGAAAGATGTCTTGCATTTGGAGCAGACAGTGAGGAGGTTTTGACAGTCTTTTGTTCCTGTAGGAATTAACTTCCCAGCTCTAGACCACCCTCTGAGAGAGCTCACTCTTGCTCAGACACAATGGTCTCTGCAGGCTAGAGTCCTGACAATAGCACAGTAGATACAAATCCACGGTGACTTTATATGCTGCAGAAAATTTGGCCATCTACACAGTGTCACAGATTCAGAGAAGTTTAGGGCTGGAAGGGACCTCATGAGATCACTGGGTTCAGCCCCTGTGTCCTGCCACAGTAGCGACCCAGCTGAACAAGGCAAGGCCTGCAAGGTCACTTGGGAGGTGACCACAAACAGGCAGTCGCTGGCTCTGTATTTCACAGCATGGGTATGTAAATCACTTGACTGATGCTGCTATGCAAAACATGCTGGTGCAGTCATCCCAGATGTGTTTGGCTAATCATTTTTTGTTTGGGTTTTGAATGAAGTCAGTAGCAGGCACAGTACAGGCCAGCAGGCTTATTTCAACAGCAGCATAAGGTGTGTCCAAAACTCCAGATCTGCAACTGGTGCCAATTACAGTAGCTTCACTGAAACCAATGCAGTTACACCAGTTTCTAGGGGTGGAGAAATAGGCTGCATCCTACCTGGATAGCGAGGCAGAATCTATTGTGCAGTAGTCTAAACTGCATTTTTGGGCTGGGTGCCTCTTCCCAGCTCCACCACTGGTCTCTTGGGTGCCCTTGAGCAAGGCTCTTGACCCCCTGTGCCTCAGTTTCCTTATCTGTGAAATGGGGAGAGGGCTTTGTTCTGACAGTGCAAAATGCAGTTTTGGGATGAGTGAAATCACTGCAATGAGAGCAGTAACCATATTTGGCTTCTTGGAAGAAAAAACGGGCTGGGGGGATTTCAGAGAAGCTCAAACACTTCATTTCTGTGTTTTCAGAATGAAAGGCTCTGTTTCTGTTTGAAAAGGACTTATTTTTCAGGAGGGACTGGGGGAAAGCATCCATCACAAGGACAAGCAAAATGTTTGTGATTATTAAAAATAGAATTACAGACAAAACTGAAAGTATCCTTGTATCCTTTTATAAATCTATGGTGTGTCTGCACCTTGAATACTGTTCACAGTTTTGGTCCCCACACCTCAGAAAGGAGCTAGAGAAGGGCCAGAGAAGAGCAGCAGGGATGATGAGCAGTATGGGAGGGGCTTCCATAGGAGACACTGAAGAGGTTGGGCCTGTTCAGTTTAGAAAGGAGAGGCCCAAGGGGGCACATGAGGAGGGTTTTCAAAGTACTAAATGTTGAAGAGAGTCAGTGGGGGTGCATCATTTACTCCCTCTCAGGCTACAAGAACGAGAGGTCACACAATGAATAGAGCAGGCCATCAGTTTAAAGCTGACACAAGGAGGTTCTTTGCAGCCCGTGGGACTGGGCTGTGGAAGTGGGGCGCGGGGCGAGCTGCCCGTTGGGCTGGATTAAAAAAGGGATGGAGGAAACGCCTGGAGGAAAGGGGCAGCAGTAGCTAGTGAGCCTGGGAGGGCACCCTACAGCCCTGGGCCTTAAATGCTGGAGGCTGCAGGAAGAGCAGAAAAGCCCCATGGCAGATGCAATTCCCTCTCCCACCGGCCTGTGCCCCCGGCCCAGCAAAGGGCAGTTCTGAGGCTGAAGCAGGTAGAGGCCCTGAAAGGAAAACGGGCCGTGCCCCTTCCCGGGGGGGGGGTGCTGTGTGGACCCGAGCGGAGCTGAGGCGCGTCTGCCCTGCGCCC